CTTGGCCCACGTATACGACGTATATTGACATCAGATGCTGTTGTAATATCTTCAGGTGCACAATGTTTTCTGAGTCTGACAGTGAATTCGAGGATGATTTACGTTTGTTATTTTTAAATGTATATTTCCGCGCCAAAAAAAAACAAAAAAAGAGTCAACAGAAGATATTGGGTTCATGAGATAAATAAAGAAAGAGAAAATGTTGGTGAATACCATACATTATCAAAGAAATGGGTATATGATGAAAAGCGATTCTGTATGTACTTCAGCATGTCTAAAGAACAGTTTGAGGAGATTCATAGCATTATTGATTGCTTCATGTCGCCTAACCATATCTATGAGTTGTTCGTCTCCCATTTTTATCCAAGCTAAATACAACCCGCTACACGTCCAATCGGTGTCTGACTCGTTGCGAACGTAAGATCTAGAAACTCACTAGTCGTACGCGTGGGATAGCGTATGAATATCCCCTCCACGTTCCCACGCCGATCTGGTGCGACAGATCGTTGCATGGGACGCGTTTGACAGCGTTGCGTATAACAAAGTATGTTTCCAAGTCATATGTTTTCATACATATTTCGTAGTTTACATGTCATAATGCGTAGCATACGTGGGCTCAGTTTGTCTCTAGCTTAATAATGTGTTATGTTTAATCTTTACTTATGCTGGCACTTCACTTGGATATTCGTGTTTGCTACTAAATTTGTAAACTTGACATCAGAGTGTCCTTTTAATTCCTTATAAACTTAATCATGCTTTATAGTATAGTATCCTGAGACGCCCCCATATGGGCGTAGGAGGGTACCGGGGGGTTTTAGTGGAGTAGGATCAGTGTGGCCTTCCGCACTGGTCCTGCTTGAGTAGGGTCGGCACTGTTTCCCGTGCCGGCGAGTCCCACACACGCCGTGCGCCTAGTCAGCGTCACGGTATGGTGCGTAACTGCATTTCCCCTCGTCACAAAAAAAAAGCCCTAAGAAGGACAGCGAGCTTTGTTGGTAAGATATTTTTATTAATAAGACTACAATAACAACCGTTGCTAAGAAACGGGACTAGATTATCCTTAACTTATTTGTTTCTTAGGTTTTTACGCGCATCACGCATTAAATAAAACGATTTTTACGGGTTGTATGCACTGAATTTATTTATCTGACGTTTCGCCTTTACAGGACTGCGTCTTCAGAAATAACCTTAACTTTTACTGAAGTTTGATTATTTAAACTGACCGTAGAGGCCTATTATTTAAACCACACACACTGTGCGTACATCAATCCTAATATTATAAAGCTGAAGAGTTTGTTTGTTCGGTTGAACGCTCTAATTTCAGGAAGTACTGGTCCGATTTGAAAATAAATATTTTTTCGTTGAATAGTGCATTTTTTTTTTAATCTTTATTGTACAATAATAATTAGGGGTTTTGTCCGTAGATATGTCACCCCTATAATTTATGTCTAAGAATTTCATTTGTGCATTTATCGAGGAAGGCTATATAACATCGCACTTCGACCAGGAATTGGAACAATCCCTTTAAAAGTTTTATAAAAAAGGCCGCGACAACATACCTATAAGTTTTGACTCACTATTACCTTTTCCTCAAATTAAGAGCCCTTTTACAAAATTGCGCCGCTGCCGTACTGATCGGCGCGTAGGTAGATATGCACTAGTATATATTGCATTTTACGGGTAATGTTTCGAGTCTTATAATTTAATTATTAATGAACTAATTATAAAAATATATACATATTTAAGTAGTTCAATGATGGTAGATTAGTTTTATGAAAGTTTTTGATAGTAATTCTATTTAATTCAATATCAAAATACGAGGTAATCCTGCATAATTTTTCGGGAAAACTCACGGAGGTTAGATGTTTTTTTTTTGATAATTAATGAGTTGGAAAATTAAAATTCTAATACATTATGTTACAACAAAAACATATTTCTGATCTCGTAGTAATTAATTTGATCTATATTAATTTACAGCTGCAGTTTAAGGATAAAACTTTTCAATGTGCATTATTTCTAGCGAGAAGAACGAACGTGTTATGCTCTCAGTTTTTTTTACTAATGTAATTACTAAACTTTTAAACATACAAGCGCTTTTTACACATGTGTAGCATAATTATTATACTTGTGGAATGAAACCTCTACTCAGTAGGAACTTAGCTTCACTTCAATCATCAGAATCTGTTATCGTACGTTTTGCTAGTCTCAAAGCCTCAGCTAGAGGTTACAAGTAATACTGAAATGGCATTGGCTGCCAGGGAAAAGCTTAAAGGGTAAAAATTATGTGCTGAGTGGGTCTGATTCTGGCATGATTCTTTAAACTTAATACTAAATTTATTATATATAATCTTTAGTTTTCATTCTGTATAGAGCATGGCTGGGATTTGTATAATGTTGTCAAATTTAAATTCAAAGTCATGCCAGATTGAAGCCTATTGTTCTTTATCATACAATAATAGATAGGTGTAATGAAAATGCTGATACAAGAAACATTTTTAGGTAGTGAATCAATAGATTTAACTTAAAAGCTAACTAAACTAAAAAAATATAACTAATTTTCTAATTTCACATATTCTGTACAGTTTTTATGATTGATTAATGTTCAAGAAATATGTACATCAGCATTAAAATGAATTCGCTGAATCTTAAATTTCTGACAATCGAAGAATTAATGATAGAGATCACAATATTCATAAGTACAGTCAGATGATTTACTTTTATATGGGGCCGATTTCATTGAAATATGGTAAGAATATGCGCATTGCTATAAACTTAATGAGACATTTGAAAAATAATGCTAGAACAAATGCTATCCTATTTCTATGAAAATACGATACCTACTTCATTTAAAACAATTTGGGTTTACAAGGTAGCGCTCTACAATTGCTCCTGGTGTTGAGCTCATACAATTTTGTTTTATGCTTGGGAGAAGTTACATGACTGTTTAGGTCTTCTCTGTGATTTGTCCTAGGCTTATAATTATTATTGCGTTATTCATGAAAAAATAATCAGAGAACTGCGCTGCTATGGACTTGCAAGTAGAGTTCTGAATCTCATTGTATCATATTTAAGCGATAGCATCCAGTAAGTTAACATCAATAGGAAAAGATCTGCCGGTTCGTAGTAAAGATGGGTGTACGCCAGGGCTCGAGTTTTGGTACTTTCTTGTTTTTATTATATCAATGACCTGCTTTTTTGTGAGCAATAATCAAGCGAGTGTATTATTACCAGATGATACTTAAATTTTAGTTAATATTTAATGAAATCAACCACTTATTGACGATGTGATCAATGGTATCTCTAAAGTAGTCCACTGGTTTAACGCTCATAAGTACCTTTTAATGAAGTTAAAACTATTTAAAATTGTTATTGCTCCATGCAAAGTAGATAAATAGCAGAATAATTGTGACAGATGACCTTGTGTACAGTATTCTTAGGCAATTGCACTAGATTCAAAGCTTCAATGGGGCCCATATAAAAATTGACGAGGACTAAGCTCTGCAGCCTGCGCGATATATTGAAGTTGCGATAATTAACTTACGCAGATACCGCTCGATTATATTCGATTTATATATAGTTTAGTTATTTTTAAAGCACGATGTTGGTAATATTTTTCTATAGGGAAATATTAAATGGAAAATTTCTAACTATTTTTGTGCTGCAGAAGCGGGTTATTCAATTAAACAAAGAAATTAAAGAATCGGTATTACGACAGTGCTGTATCAATATAATATATAACAATCAATCAATATATGTTTTGTATCATTGTACTTTTAATGTATGTTCGAAAAAATAGTCAAATATATTCTATGCTATTTTTATTTATCTATGCGACAGAAAGGCAAGGTTGTACATCAGCAGGAAGGATCCAAGCTGGGCTCTCAACCATATTAGAAGCACAAAGTGCCAACAAACGATTCCATAATATATTATTATTTCAGATTCTTGGGGCTTTCAATATTAAAAATAACCGACCATGTACCAGAAAACAAGAATAAATTCTTCATTTAAAGTCTTTTTCTTTGTAATACTTGATTTGCTCTATTTGTCATGGTGCATACCTACTCTATCTTTTCACCAATAACCTTAGTAGTTCTTAACCTTATTTTAGTTAACAGTTTGACGTTGTTTAACGGAATTAGGATAACCCCTACTTTGCAGTTGCGTTACATAACTCGAAACCCTGCTGCAATTCATCACCGTCTGAGACGTTTTGGAGCAGGATTGCGCAAGATTAGCGTGTTTATCATCTGGAAATGCTAACTAGAGAATACCTACGGCATTAAGTCCGCAATTGTACAATTGTACAAAAATAACTGAGTTGACGTATTGAAGTAGCATATGCATATAAGCTACCAGGTCATTTAAAGATAGTTCTTGTATTAAAGAAAACCAAATATTTTAGTTAATGTGTAGGGTTTGTGAAGTAAGGCCTTTTACAAGTTAGGGCGTGTACACTTAGAGATCGGATAAATTTTTGACAGTGAGAGTCATATGGACTCGTCTTGGCAGCATTTTACATGAAAATGTATTTGGTGGGATATATTATTCTGTTTTTTCTCAAATGTGTTGAATACATACATATAGAGGATACATTCCACGCTTTGGTGGAGTGTGTGCGGATACAAGCTGAACGCAAATCATTTGAACTGGAAGGTTCTGAAATTTTGTTTCAACCAACTTCAAAAGTAGCCATTAATCTGTACAACTTAATTATTAAATTGTTTAGAAAAAGGAGTAGTAATGGTTAATAACAGTATAAGTATTGTTAAAACTATAGGCAGACCATAATTAAATAGGGTTTTTTTAAAGCGTTAAAAAACATTCGTGTGGAATTGTTATTTACAAACTCGTGACTATGGTCACGTCTATTCGTTTGTAAACAACAAAAAATTCGGATACCAAAAAGCTGTATAAAAATTACCACCAAAAGAAGCGGATTGCATCTTATCATCTAGAAAAACCGAGAAGGTGCACCGTTGAAGTTTGCCACATCATTCTTAGACGCGGCCCTGAAAGACACGCCCACCGCGAGTCCCTCGGGGATGTTGAGCAACTGTGATGGCTACCACCAGCAGCATGATACGTTTCCATTGCGACTGTCGCGCATGTAGCGCTTTCGTTATGCTGTCCCAAGAGGGCATTACATACCTGGCACTGTTGAACTTTGTCGCATCATTCTTGGACGCGGCTCCGAAAGACACGTCCACCGCGAGTCCCCCTGGGATATTGTACACTGTGATGGCTACCACCAGCAGCATGATACGTTTCCATTGCGACTGTCGCGCCTCAAGCGCTTTCGTTATGCTGTCCCAAGAAGGCATTACATACCTGGCACTGTTGAAGTTTGCTGCATCATTCTTGGACGCGGCCCCGAAAGACACGCCCACCGCGAGTCCCTCGGGGATGTTGTGCACTGTGATAGCTACCACCAGCAGCATGATACGTTTCCACTGCGACTGTCGCGCCTCTAGCGCTTTCGCTATGCTGTCCCTGTGGTCACCTTCGCCGTTCTCTTTCTGAAACATTTAACAAATAATAATAATAAATATTGCTAACACTCACAGATTAATCTAACCCCAGAGTAAGCACCGTACGTCGAGCAGAAGAGACGATTTCTGCCCGGGTCTAGGTACGGTTTTAAGCCGTGTTTAGGTCCAGGCGTCAGTAAGCTATGGGTCACTTTAGAGGTTTGTTAATGATACAAACGTACAAACCGAGCTCGTGAACAAGCTTAGTCGGCACCGTGCCTGGACGAACGTTAACAAGCGCCCTAAGACTTGTGTTATAAGATACTAGGGTAACGGATGGAATACATTTGAACTATTTATTCTCTCTTATTCCACCTTCCCCTTTCCTTCAGAGGACCACGCGCGCTGGCTTACGTTGTCACCGTCTAACTGTGGCTACAATTCCAACGCGTACAAAGAAATTTGGTGACTCATTTCTTTGTCGTACTATCCGTAAATGGAATGCTCTGCCCGCTCACGTGTTCCCTCCCTCTTACAACCTGGGATCCTTTAAAAGAGGCGTGAAGAAGCAACTTGCAGGCCGGCAGGGTGAGGATGGCTGGTGTGGCAGTTAGAACTGCTGTATCAGCTATCTTCGCGTCTGGACTTCACCTTCACTTAACATCAGGTGGGGTGGAGTCATTTGTCGGATCTATCTATAAAAAAAAAAAAAAAAAAAACTGATACATAAATATAAGTATATTTATCTATAAATATATATAAACATCCATGACTAAGGTACAAATGCTCGTATTCATCATACTAACATTTGCCCCATCGGGATCCGAACCCCTCGAGAAGGCGACACCTTGAAACCTGGCGTACATACTACTCACGCAACGGAGGTCTTCAAATTGACTAAGTTTACGAGCCTAGCATTTAACACTTGCCAGCAGCGTAAAATAAACATAATTTAAAATTCAGGCGTAGGTCATCTTCTAACCCGGCTGATCTAACGCCTTAGGCGTCGTCCTAATTGGCAACGATCGTACGACGACATGATGCGTTCGTGTTGTACGATAAAAATAATGTACCAGCCCCTCTAGCATGACCACCGAAACGGGATATGATCAAGCGATATATCGGCATTAACTGTCAGACTACTGTCAAGCTCCAGTGTAGTCTGACAGTTAATGCCGATATATCGCTTTATCATATCCCGTTTAGGTAGTCATGCTAGAGGGGCTGTGCTCGTAAGACGTCAGATGTTTACTTAATCCAGTACCAATATAGCGGTGATAGCTGTTTTTGGAAAAATAGTAGCGCAGTCAAATGAGTACTATGTGATTCAAATACGAATAGGAAAACCAAAGATCTCCATCTGTCAAATGTCGCTTGAAAAGTACGGTTTGCAAAAATATCTTGGAACACTTTTTTTTGGCACTGAGCTAATCTCTAGAGCTAATAAATACTATATTAAACATTAGTAAACAAAATAAGGCCAAAATCCAGCCAAATCTAATTTTATTAAAAATAAAATATGTAAATCGAATAATAAAATCAAAACAACGTGGAATGTTATAAATCGTGAAACAGGCAAAGAAAGGCCACGTGACGATATTATTGAAATTAAGTCCAATAATATTCTAATAAAATCTAAGGAACATATCGCTAATATTTTTGATGATTATTTCGTTAATGTTCCTTTGGTGGCTACATCTAATTTGAGCTCTTCAACGGTGGCTGCCAAGACATTGCTCGAGAAATATGTACCTAAGTGTGATAACGTGTTTCAGTTTAGACATATTAGTTTTATTGATGTTATTAAGTGTTTTAAATCTCTTAAACAAAAAAATACAAGTGATTTATGGGGTATTTCTACTAAAGTTATTAAAAGTATAATACCCGTTATTGCCCCTTATCTAGTTGATATATTTAATAACTGTATTGATCAAGGCGTATTTCCGGATTTGATGAAATACAGTAAAGTTATACCTCTTTTTAAATCAGGAAATAGAAGTGAACCTGGAAATTATAGGCCTATATCAATATTACCGGTTCTAAGTAAAATATTTGAGAAAATTATTCTGGAACAATTAATGCCTCATTTCAACCTAAATAAACTTTTGCATAGGAAACAATTTGGTTTTACCAGAGGTAGATCTACTACTGACGCGGGTGTTGCACTTGTAAGGAGTATATTGGAGGCTTGGGAGAGGTCGCAGAATGTTCTTGGAGTGTTCTGTGACTTATCCAAAGCTTTTGATTGCGTTGATCATCACACGAATTATTGAAATTAAGTCATTATGGAGTCAAAGGTACTGCATATAAATTAATACAGTCGTATCTCAGTTCCAGAATTCAAACTGTAGAGGTAAATGGTGTTAGATCATCTGGATCTCATGTGGAAATGGGCGTTCCCCAGGGTTCAATTTTGGGTCCCTTTCTGTTTCTAGTATATATAAATGATATGCCATTTTTTGTAGAAAATTTGTGTGAGATAGTATTATTTGCTGATGACACATCTTTATTATTTAACGTTGACAGGCGCAAGAACAACTATGATGATGTTAATAATGCTCTCTCGCAAGTTTTGCAATGGTTTAATGTTAATAATCTAAAGCTAAATGCTAATAAAACCAAGTGTATTAAATTTTCTTTACCTAATGTAAAAGTCGAACATTCAATATGTTAATTAAATTAAATAATAATAAATTAGATTTAGTAGACTCAACTACATTCTTGGGTATAACTATAGACTCAAAACTGCAATGGAATCATCACATTACGCTTTTGGCTGGTAAACTTAGTTCAGCAGCTTATGCCATAAGAAAGATAAGACAACTTACTGATACAGAAACTGCCAGGACTGTATATTTTAGTTACTTTCATAGTATCTTATCATACGGCATTATACTCTGGGGAACAGCAGCTGATATTGAAAGTATATTCATTCTACAAAAAAGAGCTGTGAGATCTATTTATCAATTGAGTAGCCGAACATCTCTTAGAGAAAAATTTAAAGAAATCGGCATTTTGACTGTTGCTTCTCAATTCATTTACAATTGTATACTCCTCGTTAAAAATAATATCAATTTGTATACCAAAAACAGTAACGTGCATAATTTTAACACAAGGAATAGAAATAAGCTTGCATTGCCAGCCTACAGGTTACAGAAGGTTTACCGATCTTTTATGGGTCAAGGTATACATTTTTATAATAAAATTCCTGATGCCATTCTTGAGTTACCCATAAATGAGTTCAAGTGTCACATTAAAAATTGTTTACTTAAGAAAGGCTATTATACTATTAAAGAATACTTAAATGACAAAACTGCATGGCTGTAACTGTAAATTTGTTTTGTATTTGTTTGCAGTGTCGTACAGATAAATTACCTGAATTCTAAGTAACTATTTTACTTGGTTTGAGTGGTTATGGGTAGTCATGCTCTCTTAAAAATCTCTTCGGCGGTGTCGTGTGAGGCGGGTCGTTGCGTTCCCTACAACATGGTTGAGCGAAACGATGGCTGGTTCATGCGTCATGCTCGTGAACGGGTGCTGCCAGCGGAGATGAGTCTGCTCTATACTACTTTATTATTATTATAATGATAATTAATTATTTAAGTTAAATTATATTTATTTGTAATTGTATTTATACTGTATGGCACAGCAATCAGAAACAAAAAATTTAGGTGAACATTTATTATTTCTGAGATAAAGATTTAATGGTGGTGTGGATTCTGGCATGGTTCTCTAGACCTGAACTTTGGTTTTGCAGCGGTGTATCCTTGTCATTCTCTATACATAGTGAAGGGGGGGGCACTGATGTTGGGTTTGGTTTTGGGTTTGGAGGGTAGTGGCAGAGTCGACACTAGTGTTTAGGTAACCACATGCATGTGTCCTACAGTTGTGTTTATAGTTTTTTATAGTAATGTACACTGGTACTTAATTTTTTTTTTCCCCCTATTTTGCTATCTAGTATCCATATGTGGTTATGGGTAGTCATACTCTCTTAAAAATCTCTTCGGCGGTGTCGTGTGAGGCGGGTCGTTACGTTCCCTAAAAAATGGTTGAGCGAAGCGATGGCTGGTTCATGCGTCATGCTCGTGAACGGGTGCTGCCAGCGGAGATGAGTCTGCTCTTGCTACATTGGGTACTATTAATCGTTGTATTTAACTTTAATGGTACATTTGTTTTTATGCCTAAACAGTGGGACACGGCATTCCTAAACTTTTTTTCATTTTTAAATCTGTTTTTTACATTTTTTATTTTATAGTCATAATTGTTTTATCATTTACATTTGTAATGGAAAGTGACTTCATGGGTTATCTCATATTGAACTCATTTTTCAAATTGACGACTCTGTATATAATACAGGGAGAAAAAAACAGCCCTTGCTGAGTTTCTTGCCGGTTCTTCTCAGTACAAGGTCTCCCGCCGTAGATTTGCGAACCGATGGCGTAGCTTTTCGACATTCACAAGTGCTTGTAACAGCCTAGACTGAATAAATGATATTGAATTTTTTTGATTTTTTTTTTTGAATTTGAAAGGAAATAAATCATATGTAACGTATAAAAAATGAGTACTGGAAAAAGGAAGTATAGGAACTTTAGTTTTATTACAATACAGGTAATGAAGAGACCGTTTTTATTGTAAATAAAGTTGTCGCTTTAAAACTTACAAAAATCGATATTTTATTTTATAGCCAAAAGAAGCAGTTATGATGATGACTGGAGTAGTCATAGTAAAGGTAGTGCAGAGATGAGCGCAATTAAAGAGCTAGATTCTGATAGATGGAATCACTTAATCTTGGTAAATATGTTTTACTAAAGAAAAACTTTTTTGCTCACTCTACCTAACTGGTTTGAATTGACAGCTATGACGTCACAATATGGTGCCCGGTCGGTCCTATTCTTAGTTGAATCGCATTATACGTAGGTATTTTAAATTCACTACACTTGGTGAGCTTGTTTGGTGGTGAATTACTTGTCTACAATTCATGATAATTTGCTGTTATTATGTCCGACAAGTGTACAAGCTGAAAGGGCTTTTTCGAAAGCAGGCTAATATAGTTCCATTAGAAATCGCCTGTCGGATGACACAATTAACATTTAGTACCAATCTTTTTTGTACGATATTTTTTTTTAAAGTAAAAATCGTTATTTTAACTTAAAATAAAATCATAATTTTTATTTTTTTAGCATGTAACTGCTCGATGTTTAAATCTAAAGAAAATATAACTACGACTCTTGACGACGGGACTCGAACCCGCACCCTTAGCTATCAAAATACAATTTTTAAAAGAAAGTGAGTTGAATAACTTTATTAAAAGATAAAATTATAATAGAAGTTCATAATTAGATAGATTCATCTACTCACGATGGTGTGTGTCATAAATATAAGACAAATTTTACATAGACAAATGATTGGTTTACCTTCCGTCGACCGCAGGGAAACCAATCATTTACCTTAGACTAATTTGTAAGCATTTTCAAATACTTTGATATAAATGTAATCTCAATTCTCATTTCAGTAAATTATATATGATTTCAAATCAGCTGTGTGTGTGAGGTGAGGTCAAGTGGTTCCTTCGATACTATAAACACAGTCAGGTCATAAGTATTGTCACACAGTAAAAACTTTTCTTTTAGAATGCTGGCCACAAAAAAAGTTTATTGAATTCGAGTTGTTCATGAAAATAAAAATATATACTTTTTAGAATTTTACTCATTTTTAAATGTGGAGTGGACGCTTTAAGAAGACCGTGTCACAGTTATTGCTTTGCATCGTTGCGGTTACGCGCCAATTCAAATTTTTGACATACTGAAAAAATTTAATAATACCAAAAGATTCGTTTATCGTACCATCAAACGATACAATGAAGATTCTAGTGTAGATGACAGGTCAAGAAGTGGTCGCCCTCCGTCTGTTAGGACTCCAGCAGTGATAAAAGATGTGAAGGCGCGAATTCAAAGAAATCCTAAACGTAAGTAGAAACTGTTGGCCCTTCAGATGGGGTTAAGCAGAACCACGGTGAAAAGGGTGTTAAATGAAGACTAAGGGCTTCGGGCATATCGAAGAAAAACAGGACATCGTTTGAATGCTCGTCTAATGGACCTGAGACTGAAGAGATGCCGCGCTTTGTTTTTAAAAAAATTTCGGGAAATTCTTGTTTCGGATGAAAAAAATTTTACCGTAGAAGAGAGCTACAACAAACAAAATGATAAGGTGTACGCACACAGTAGTGAAGCGAGCAACCGGATCACGGAGGTCATTTTGAATAAACTTATTGCTATAAAAATCTATGTTTTGTTAAATTCATTTTGGTATATAAATGGTTACATAATGCATAAACTTCTTTCAATTATTTTATATTAAACATGTGACAGAATTTATGACCTGACTAAGTATAAAGTAACTTCTAAAATAATTGAACTATCTGAGAAAGTGAAACCCAGTAAGACTGAGGTACCTACATAAAGTTAACAATTGGGACTCGGAAAAAGCTTGAGAAAGCGAATCCTTATTGAATCGATCCGGCAGGATCAGACCGGATAAGTTCGAATCAATACGGCAGGATCCGACCGGATTCGTCCGAATCGATCCGGCAGGCTCCGACCGGATCCGTCCAAACCTATGAGAATCCAGCCGGATTCTTACGGATTGAAAATGACGCCGGATTTCAATCCCTATTACGGAGTTGTATTAGGACACTTCTCAAAAATCCATCGTGGGTTCGTTGCCAATTAGGACGACACCTTAGAGAATATTACAATTAAAAGGCCTAATTTAATAACGATTTTATAAACCTTAGACTAACTATTATTAGGAGTTATTAACTTAATGTATCCATTTAGGTATTGGAATGGAATAGATACCGTTATTATTCGAGCGAGCATAAATCTATATAAGAATCTGAAATCTATATACTATATCCATATAAAGAGGGAAAATAAATAAACAAATAAATAAATAAATAAATAATAATAATAAATATTTCCAACACTCACACCAATTAGCCTAGCCCCAAAGTAAGCACTGTAAGGCTTGTGTTATGGGATGCTAGGGTAACGGATAGAATACATATACAGTACATATATAAGTATATTTATATAGAAATACATATTAAACATCCATGACTGGAGTACAAATGCTCGTGTTCATCACACAAACATCTGCCCCCACCGGGATTCGAACCCGGGACCTCTCGAGTCGGCGACACCATGAAACCCGACGTACAAACCACTCGGCCACGGAGGTCGTCAAATATGCAAATATAATATATTTATGTAAATTAAACTATTCATTTATAAATATTTAATGTCGTATCTTTATTACTATATTTATGTAGTAATTAATATCATTATTTAATTTATATTATTATAAAAATATATATATATATATATAAATAAATAAAATATATAGACTTCAATGTGTATATTTAGGATTATTAATAGCATCTAGCCTTTTTTTAGTTTGCCACTATTACGAAGTGAAAAAGTATCTGTCTTTTTATTAAAATATACTGTGGTAACCGTTGGAATAGTACCCATTTTTTTGTGTATCAAAGCTTAACTGTCTACCCGTAACAAAAAAAAAGTAAGAAATTTAGTGTACATAAACACAAAAATCTAGTATTTAAAGTGCCTTAATTATATTAAAGATTGCATAAATACGTTTTTGGCCGAATTAATTCAGAATAATTACTTCTCCGTAACACAGTTTTTAACTAGCACGGGAGGTAAATACTTAAAAAATTGCATAACAGAAAAATAGGATATTATATTTTAGGAATTTAAAGACAATGCTACTGTTTAATAGTTATAAAATGCTGTTTGGTAAATACCTAGTGCCATATACAGTGAGTGAAGTGTTAATACCAGAAACCCAAATTCGTAAGTACATAGTCTCAAAACTTCATACTTTGTACCGCGTAGGATATTTTAAAGTTAATAGCAATTTAAGATGCTTCAAGTTACTTTTATTTTATTATGTTGAAGTGCTATGATATTATCTTTAAGTAGTTACGAGTATGTGCAACGGTTAAATATTGTTTTGTTTTAAAACATAATACTTAGTAAGGTATTTCTCTCTTTTTCTTATAATACTGTATTGTAGATTTACTGGTTATGCATGTATTTTAAGAAATAATAAAGATTATTATTATTATTATATTAATTTTCTCTACATAAAATGAAAAGAACTAATGGTGTCTATTTTAGTTTTAAGTTGAAAGATAAGCTTTAATATGTTTCGGATTGTTATAAGTTTAACGTCAAAACAATCAGAAAAGATTACGTAAAACCTGATTTTCAAATGACTTAAAGAAACAAAAGGCATACTTATATGGACACTGGCACTCACTCAAGAAACACTTGTGTGCATAAAATATGCGTGCACCATTGTAGACGAGAACAATGTTAGCAGAGCAAAATATTTAACTATAGTCTTAAACTTAAGACAGCAAGAAATGATATAAGAATATAAATCTGATTGAAGGTATACTTAAGTATATTAAAGCTTATTTGCTATTCCTACTATTTCTTTGCAAAAAACCGATAAGACAAAAAAAAACAAGCGAAAAGACTGCTGACAAAAGAAAAAGGAACTCAGAAATTCCCTTTCGCAAAGTTCTTCACGTTATGCTTTCAATTTGCAATTTTAGAGGTAAAGGTTGATAAGTTTGGGACACGAGCAGTGTAAGATCTTAATTTTTCACTGACTTTTCCTGAATGCTTTGAGCTTTTTAAATGACTCTACCCCAACTGATCTCAAGTGATGGTAAAGTCCAGACGCGAATATAGCTGGTGCAGTAGTTATGGGATGCCACGCCAACCATGCACACCTGCCGGCCTGCACAAATTTTTCTTCACGTCTCCCTTCCGTACCTTTCCTTCTAGAAGGGAGACGTTGTGGGCACCCTGTTTAAGCATTAACGTGCCAAGAGCGTAGCGAGTGATGGTGCCCTCCCCGCCTCTGTGCAGTGTGTTCATTACTGATGCAGTCAGCGAAGTCTGTGGCTGGCGGTTGATCGACCGTCACCACACCGTACATACCACTCGTATCAAGGAGGTCGTTAAGCATGAACGTACCAAAGAATGTAGCGAGTGATGGTGCCCTCTCCGTCTCTGCGCAGTGTGTTGATTACTGATGCAGTCAGCGAAGTCTGTGGCTGGCGGTTGATCGACCGTCACCACACTGGTGGAAGGCCGCCTGTTCAACGCCGTCATCATTTCTAAATCTTCCATCTTCTCTTTTGATTCTTTGGTTTTTGTCATACCTGTAAATTATAAAAAAATAACATAAAAGTATTTCTTGCGCATGATGAACACTTTCAAATATTTTAAGTAAGAAGAACAAAATATTTTGCTCTTTCTTTTACATATGGTTACAAAATTTAATCTGCCTTAGAAATGTAAGTAGACAAGATAAATATGTAGTTTAAAACGAAAGGAAATCAAATTCAAAACAAAAACGTTGAATCAAACACAGGCATTGATCGTACGAGGTTATCTTAAGGTTGGAAACAAGTCAAATACACGCCAGTCTGTTGTATAGGTGCATGTCGATGCTCGTATGATGTACCATACACCATGGTTCTACCGAATTAGTGAACATAAAACGTAGGTATTTATTTAAGCTTGTTGCAGTCTTTATTGACAGGACAACTTTAATCTGTTTACACAGACTTAAAGATATACACCTAAAGGTTAACGTTTTGTAAAAATGACTATTGCATGCCCGATTATGGTAACTGATGGTTTTTTATTGTGTGCACTAACATCTAGCAGTATCACTAAATGTAACAGTTTTGAAATAAAGAATTATTCTATTCTATTCTAAAGGTACGCAAACAAATGCATAGCTCTCATTCAGCTTTTAGCCCATAGACTCGATCGGATAAACTTTTTTATACAGGCCGTCTGTATTGATGGTGTAAGACGCTGTGAAATAAGGACGACCATTTCTCCAGCACACACTCTCTAGATCGACGCTATAAACAATTACATATTGTTTATAGCGAATATATATAATAACAAATCCTAAAAAGAAACAGTAAATATCGAGGTGAACTATGTGCAAAACAATGACACATTAGGATGAACAGCCCAATCTGGGGTTTAGCTAAAGGTCGTCGTCTAGTTTGCAGCGTAGTTTGCTGCAGACATGTGAAGAATAGCGATAGCTGTAAAACTGCACGACTGGATACTAAAGTTGGACTTTTCACAATTATAACAGAGCCTGACCAGCTATCTATCTATCTAGGTCCGCTATCGTAGGTCCTTGATCTTCATCTGAGTCTTCACTGTTGAGGAGAGATGCCTACAGATTGGTGAATAATATGACCAAGAATATAGTCACCTTTTTTCTTTGTAATCACTAGAATACATTTAATTATTTATTATATAACCATGTCTCGAGAGCAATTATTTTGTTCTCATCATAGGCACTTTCCCCACCGAGATTCGCTACCAATGAACCAACCTGCCGCCAATATTCTATTATACATATTATACTCTAGCATACATATTAAAACTTTTAACTCTGTGATGAGCCAGCAGTACATAACTTCAATTGAACATTAACTTAAGTTAACCAACCTCAAATCACTCAAACGTTCAGTGTAGCTGATGAGTCCAAGGATGTATCATCATCACCACTATCATCAACCTATTAATGTCCCCACTGCTACGGCACAAGCCTTCCCTATGGATGGAATAGGGAAATACCAATACGTATACAAGGATGTATACCAACTCATAAATAAAACATTTAAAAATTACATAGGTATTAAAAGGCTTGCATGAAAAGGTGTGATTGTAAATAAACTTGTCAATACTATCAATACAGGTGTTAATTTTTATGTTTTAATGCGCGAGCTTCATCTTTTTATGTACTTTGCAATTTTTCCAGCGCAGTCCAGGCAGATAAGGAAAAATTTCGCTACCTGTATATTCAGTTTTGTTTTTCCTTCCGCCATCGTCGTACTATCTATACAATTTTAAGCATCGCGGAAAAGACTGGATTAATTTACCTAGGAATTTTTATTAACTTTACATTAAATTTAATCGCAACAATAAGCATAAGTGCTTTCGTGCATTTGGTGACTGGTCAAGCCTTATCATCGTCATTATCAGCCTATTAAGGTCCCCACTGCTAGTGGACCGACCGTCTGTAATTATAGGATAGGGCGATCGGTCTGTGGCGCAGAGATAAAAAACTGCATGAGTATCGTGGAACATTCGGTTGGAACGAAGTTAAAAATATTTAATAGGTTGGGGGAAAAGTCTTTTCGCATTTATGAACGTATGTATGAACTTGTAATAAAATCTCTTTCGCTATACCATTTGTATCTGGCTGGTTTTGGTATCATTAAAAAGATTAAATTTAAAGAAGATAATTCCAAATTCAAAATAGAGAAATATGTGCTTATCATTTGTTTTTCTTACTGTCAAGGTGAGTGAATCTAATGAAGAAATAGGATACATTTTAAAATTTTACTACGAAAAAGGTAAAAACAACCCAAGGCGCGAAAAAAAATTGTGATGTTTATGGACCTAGTGTAATGTCTGTGACAGTAGCACACATTTGGTTAAAGCGTTTTCAATCCGGAAATTTTGATTCAAAGATGCACGTCGCTCTGGTCTCTCTGTTACGGATAAAATGGATGTCATTTTTAGAAAAGTAAAACAAGATCGGCATATCAGTAGTTACGACGTAGCTGAAGAACTGAGAATTAACCACAAACAGATTTGGCTCATTTGAAAAAAGCTGGATACACAAAAAAGCTTAATATTTGGAAACCTAATGAAACGTGTACTCATTTGTGATTCTTTATGACGATGTAATGAAACCGAACCATTTTTGAAGAAGCTGATAACTTGGTGATGAAAAGTAGATCACGTACGACAAGAACGTGTTAAAAAGGTTGTCAAAGGTCGGTCAGGCTACACAGACTGGCGAAACCCGGGTTAACTCACAACAAGGTGATGCTATGTGTATGATGGGATTGGAAGGGCATTATTCATTATGACCTGTTACCGCCAGGCAGGACCATCGATTCTGAATTCTACTGCGAACAACTGATGAGATTTTATTTTAGCCACTCAGGAAAAATTAAGAGTTTGACTGGGAGGTGTTAATGCATCCGCCGTATAGTCCTGACTTTGCACCTTCAGATTTCCACCTGTTTCGGTCTCTTCATAATTCTTTAAGCAGTGTCAGGTTAACATCACAGGAGGACTGCCAAATCCACTTGTCGTGGCTTTTTGATCAGAAGCCCTAAAATTTCTATGGCGATGGGATCTTGTTCCTACCTACAAGATGGCAAAAAGTTATCGAACAAAATGGCACCTACATACTTTAGTTAAATGTAAATAAACTTAATTAAAAATATTTTGAATTTTCATATAAAAAGTGAAGAAACTTTTTCCCCAACCTAATATATTCCACCCGCCATTACTGGCTGACACTGAGACCTTGTGGCGAGACATGGTCCAATCTCCCTACTCCATAACAATCCATACCAATTTGGATTGGGTCCAGAGCGGATTGGGCCCATAGGGGATTGTGCCCAGTGTCCTCCCCTATCCACCTCAATATCTCCCTATTCTATCAAAAAAGTATCCTACACCAATCAGCACTGGTATCGCGTGGTGGGTTATGGCCCGATAACCGATTCATTCAGTTTCTCGGGCCAAATCAAGTGGCCAAGTAATCAAGCCAAATAAAACAATCTTCAAGATCGCACATTAAGTGATAATGGCTTTAACGACATCTAAATGTCCTGTGGCGAATGACCGCCCGATTGACCAGGGTCTTTATAAAACTTCAAAACGCGATCTAGATAAAAAGTTATATGTATAAAAGGAGCAGCAAATTATTCAACTCCAGATTATGTTATATTCAAATAGAGTCTAGTCGCTAAGATCCTCTAGCCATCCTCCAACCTGCCGACCCTAAAGCAAATCGTAGGGGAACTCGTGGAGCCCTAGAATCCAACTCGCTTGTAGAAAGGCAATATCAGGAAATTTTGTTTATTTATAGTGACTTCCTGTAAGGTGGGGCTTATTTCCAGAAAGAATCTAATCCAGCTGCAAGTCCTCCATCTCTTCAAAGCTGAATTTTCAAAAACCAAACTGTATACAAAGTATGTACTTTGTTAGGCTTCGACATTATCTTTCATTTGTTGAAATTTAATGAATTCTCAAATCATATATGATTTTATCTTTTAAGTCAGATTTTGATGGTCAATGTTGATGTACTTGCATACGTTTATGCAATGTTGATATGCTAAGACGGAAGCTAATATTATTTAGATAAAATTTTTAATGTAAATATTTTTACTTTGATTATAAAGATACACGTATATCATACAACTAAGTGATTATAATAGTTGATCCCAACTATATAGCAATTAAAAATATCAGTAAAAATTATAGTTGGTCTACCTTAACTAAATAATTATGTAGGCTACTGCTAGTATATTTAACAAGTAATGATACCATAATATAACAGTAAGTCACACTTCTATAATAAATTATACAAGGTCCTATTTTATCAGTTACATTAACTTTTATGAGCGATTTAAAATATTAAATTGAGCATATTTTCTTTTCCTTAAAACATATAGGTACATATAGGTTCTCGTATACTAAGGGTGCTTACACTTATATAATAGAAGCCGGTTTTCGGTTCAAAGGACCTATTGCAGAAAATATAAACGAATGAAGTCATTTATTTTTTAAAGTAACGACCTAAGGAGTCGGTAACCTGTTTCTTTATTGCTATAAACAAAACCCAAGGCAATTATATAGTGCCTTTGTCTAAAATAGACCACTTACAATTGCATCGAGTAACGCATGCAACAAAAGTAGCGCGTACAAAATAACCCCGAACAACCAAGCTCACTGAGAGACCGAACTAGAGAAAAGTACGCGGGAAGTCCGCCAAAACAATAGAAACCATGTGATTAGGTGCAGCAACGCACAGTATACAGCGAACTTTGGTCCGCGAAGCGCGCTCGATACTTAGGTTAAAAAACAAAAAACCCTTTTTGTTTTAATCACAGGCTCAATATGATTTAAAGAAATGGACCCAGCAGTATTATATTTTAAAATGTGTTCTATTTTCTTATACTAAATGTTAATTACGTAACAACGTAATCTGAGAATATTTACTTCCATAGCGTGCGCATTTCAAAATTGTAGGGGGACAAATGTTGCGTTGAGTGCACATCGTGTGCGTTGAGTCCGTGACAAGTCCTCGGCAGACATTTTT